GGGGACTTCTCAGTTCTAACAAAAGCCAAGGCCTTCCCGGAATTTTCTTTTAAAGACCCAGCACATAACCCTGCTTTACCTCTGCTGGGAGGCTTTGGAATCCACAACCCTCATGCTTTCTCTTTTAACCAAAAACACCACCCTTTGCTGGTGGGCGAGGCACATTAACAGAGCACAGGAGGGTATTGCAGAGGGCTTTTGAAATGGCAAGAAGATTCCTTTTATTTTGTCTTTTTTTATGGAAAGGTCAAATAATTGAAAAAACATCTTCGATGGGGAGTTCTACTTAGGGTTTACAGAAAAGCACACTTTGTTGATAAAATATGAACTGTTTGAAAGATTTATAAGTCTCAAATCCTGCATAGCCTTTCAGAATCCAAAGCAGCAGGAAGCCGCTGTGATATTTTTAAAACAAGTATTTATAAAAGTAATTGGGTCTCTTGATGTGGAATAAGGAGGGGAGACTGCTAAGGAAGCTATATTGGACTTGACATAAAAGCGAGGTATGTAATTTGGGAGCAGAATGAAGGGCGAGGACGCGTCCCCGGTACCTGTGGGCCTCTCTGCCTCTGGGAGCTGGAGGCAGGACAGAGAGGCCCGGGCGGCAGCCTCAGGGCCCGGGCAGCGCCCAGGTATCACAGCTCATCCCCAAAGCCCTGTTAAGACACCGAGGCCCTCTCCACTATTACACGCAAATGGGACAGAAAACACATGTTTCTGAGAACATTTTGGTTAAAATTAAAAATGTGGCAGGGACCGTGCCAATAATTTACTCGAGAATATCCGAACCAGATGCTGCTAGCCCGTAATTCCGAGTAATTTGCCAAAATTATGTATTTACTTTAATCCCGGAGATGAAGTTAAAATATGCATGGTTTTTGTTATTTGTGATTGAAAACAAACAAAAAGAAAGAAAGAAAGAAAAAACCCCAATGTGACTTGAAGTAGAAGAGAAGGAGAGGAGTGGTCAGAGTCCATTAACTAGTCTGTTAACTAGTACTCGAGCACGCGCAGGGCTAACCGGAAGGAGGCCAGCTGCAGATCCTCTAGAAGCCAAGGAGCCCAGGCAGGAGTGACCTGCTGGTGACTGTGTATATGGTGCCACACCACCAGGGGCACAGGGGGACGCCCTCCGTCAGCAGCCTGGGTTTCTCCCTGTCGGGCCTGGTCATCCAGCCGCGGAGCTAGTTGGCCAGTGGACAGCGACGTTTAATTCTTCTGAGCTGCTTGGCATCCTCCGGATAGAGGCGGCGGACGGGCGGGCTGCCACCAGGGTCCCAGCTCTGCTGTGTGCTCCTGTGATGGGCGCGTAGGTGGTGACTCAGCCGTGGGCTTGGCTTTCTGGCCTGCAACGTGGGCCTGACACGTGTCCACCTTGGGGTGTGCGAGGGCAGCTGCGGGGACACTGTCCTCAGGACAGCGCTGAACCCCGAATGCCTCACCCTGGCCACCCTCTGTCCTCCTGGCAGACGAGCATGTGACTTGAGGAGGGGACACTGTATTTTTTCTCTGTCGTGGTAAAATAGGCATAACATGAAGGTCACCTCTGGACCACCCTTGCTGGGCTCAGGGGCATTGAGCACATTTGCGTGTATCACTGTTTTCAAATAGAATCTGCTCCGGAATCCGGGCTGGCTGGCCCGCTCCAGCCTGGTCCTCAGCCCTCTCACCTGGACGGCCACCAAGGCCAGTGGCTGGGCTTTCTGCCCGTGTAGTCCTATTGTAGCCCTGGGTCCGTCCTTTGTGGCCCAGTCCCTTCCAAGGCCGGCCTGGCCACTCTTAGCCCTGGAGTCTCCGGTGGCCCCGGTGCCACCCGTCAGGCTAAGCCTCATTAGCAGGGCGTGGAAGGGGTCCCAGACTTTCGTGTTGGGCACCGAGCCCTCGAGGAGTGTTCGGGGTCCCTGAGCTGTGCCCTGCAGGAGGCGGGGACCGTGCCCATTCTACAGAGGTGAGGTGGTGTCCACTCTAGCCTGGGATGCCACCCCACACGATGGGGTGTGTTTTGGGGTCCCCCTTACTGTGTGCAGTTGGAGGAGTGCCAGGCTCTGGGTGGTATTCCCGGTGCCACCCTGCTTGGGGTGTCCCTGCATGGGACGTGTGTCACCAGGGAGAGGGGCTGTCAGGGATCAGGGCTTTCCTGCCTGTGCCCTCATTTGTGGTGACACTGACCCCTTGGGCTTCTGCCCCTTGTCTGTGGGGTGTGAGGCAATTCCCGGAGGCGGAGAGTGCTGGCTTCCCCCAGAAGGGTGCGGGGAGCTGGGGAGAAGAGGGGGTCTGTGGTCACTGCTTCGGCTGGTGAGCTAACTGGCTCCTGTCACCTGCTCTGTTTTAGGGAACACACAGCCCAAGGCCTGGTCTAGAGTGGACCCAGCGAGGCATCTGGGGGAGGATGGGCTGGTCCTCAGGACACGTTCACAGCCATTCACTTGACAAAGGAGCCCTCCTTGCTGGGGCCCAGCACCCGGCACCCACGCCCATGTGCCCGCCATGGCCCTAGCGGTCACTGCCGCAACCTGCCTTGCCCTGCAGGGGACCTTCCTGAGGTGTGGACGTCCTCTTGAGGACGAATGTTCCTGTGATCTGCCGCCTGGCTCTTACGCTAGGCCTCATTGCTTTGGAAAGATGCCAACACACAGTCCCGCCTGGAGTGCTCTCGGAGACTGCGGAGGACATTAGGGTCCACCAAGGAAGAGCCCTCTTCTTAGGAAGTCTCTGTGAGGCTCACTTTTCTGCCGTTTGCCTGGTTCCAGGAAAACCTCGACAGGAGGGAGGCTCCTCGGGGGTCATGAACCGTGCCATCTGAGGGACAGACTTGAGCATGTGGCATCATTGTAGAGGGGAGAAGTCCGCCCAAGTCTGTGTGGGCTGCCTTTCTGTGCCAGGCTTATTCCGCTCAATAGAATATTCTCCAGGTTTATCCACGTTGCCACCAATGACAGGATGACTTCATTCTTTTTAATGTCTCAGTAATATTCCATCATGGATGCATACCACATCTTGATCCATTTGTCTGCTGATGGACACGGTGTGTGATCCACATCTTGGCTACTGCAGGCAGTGCTCTAGTAAACATGGCAGTGCAGATGCCCGCTCACTCACGTGAAAGGTAAACGGGTGGTCTTGGAAGTGAAGAGCAGAGCTGAGGTTACTAGAGGCTGGGAGAGGAAAAGGGGAGGGAAAGCAGAGGGAAGGGTCCACAGAGACGGAATGACACTGTGAGAGCAGGCGTAGGTCCCGGTGCTCAGCTGGGCAGCAGGGGCTGCAGTGAATGGTGATTGACTGTGTATCTCAAAATAGCATCAGATTGGCGGGCCTGGCCCTCACCTGAAATCCCAGGGACTCAGGAGGCTGAGGCAGGAGGACTGTGAGTTCAAAGCCAGCCTCAGCAACTTAGTGAGGTGCTAAGCAACTCAGTGAGACCCTGTCTCTAAATAAAATACAGAAAAGGGCTGGGGGTGTGGCTCAGTGGTTGTGTGTCCCTGGGTTCAGTCCTCAGTACCAAAAAACAAAGAAAAGCAATGACAGATGTTCCCAACATGGAAAAGTGATGGACCTTTGAGATGACAGATATGCTAATGATCCCGATGTGACGGTCACACAGTGCAGTCGAAGTGCTGCGCTGTGCTTCCTCCTTCCCCCTTCCTGTGTTTGCAGCGGCAGGTTGAACCAGGGCTCGCAAATGCTGGGCGAATGCTCCACCACTGAGCCGCCCACCCCACCCTGCCACCAAAACCAGCGCGCGGGCTGCTCGGGACAGCCGACAGCCGGTCACAGGCGGGGTGGAGATGCACCTCCCTCCAGGTGCCGGCTGCTGGGACTGCTGGAGCCACCTTTGCTGCTGGCTGGCCTGGCGACGGTGTGTCCACACAGGAGAGGGGGAATAAGCAGGATTTCTTCTTTTAAATCTCTGAGGAAGTGTGAAGGGTGAGCTGCTGACCAGCAGAGAGTAGCCACTGACTGGGCCTCGGGTGATGGCATCAGCTGCCAGTCAACAGTGGCCTGAGCCCCTCTGTCCACAGGCCCTGAGGCCAGGGCCACGGGGGACAGACTTCCAGGTGGCTGGGCTGTCGATTTCCACCGAGAGGTTTTGCGGCAGAGGCGGGTCACCTCTGGGAGAGCGCGGGCAGGCACTGGGACTTCCGGAGACGGCCGGCTCCTTAGGGACGAGCCACCTCTCCTGCTTGCACACCTGCAGTCGTGCACACCACCTCCCGCACGTACACACGCATTGTGTGCACATGGACTTCCGCACTGGCCACCGGGCTCCTCCCGTGAGCAGAATCCGCAACCAACCCCGGTTCCTAAAATGTGCCGTGGCCCTTTCCTCTCTCCCCAGCCGCTAACCCTCTGTCCCTCTCCTCCACGGTCTGCTTTAAGGCCCATCCGCAACTCCTCCTGTGTGGGTGGGAAACGCCCTTGAGTCTCCTGCCCGCTCGGGCCTGAGTGCATGCCTCGACCGCCCTCTGGGACACTGTCACTTAAGGATAAGGAAAGATGAGGCGCTGGGATCAGGCCGAGCTCAACTCCTCACTGGCTCGGGCTGTGACCTGGGGCAGTCACCCGACCTGGAGCCTCACCTTCCTGTCTGTAGAACGGGAACGACCCTGGCGCTGTCTTTTCAGGGAGCTGTGGGACTCAGACACCGACCCAGGGCCTGGACACGGCTCAGGTGGACACTGGTGCTGATCAGTGCCCGTTTCTGCCCTGCCTGGCCATTCTCAGAGAGCCTCTCCGTCTTCTGCGCTTGATTCCTCTCGCTCCCCGGAGTGTGTGCCGGGAAGGGCCGTCTTCTTTTCCCCAGGATCTGGACAGAGGCCGGCAGGACTGGGCAGGGGCCCGGCGGTTCTCTTCTCCCGGCCATGGGTGTCTGCCTACCTGGCTGTGGTTTCCCCTTTGGAGCGAGGGCTGGGATCCTTCCTAATTTACAACACATAGTTCCTTAGCAACCCTCTCTAACATAGGATCAGGTATAAAAATACTTTTGGTTAGAAATTCAAACATCTTCATTTATTATAGATCAGTGCTTTTTTAAAAATACTTTTATTTTCCCTTCTTATTTCAAAAGCAATGCAAATTCATTGCAAAATATTGAGCATACTCAGAGAGTCACTTCTCGGTGTACTCTTGCAGCTTTCACACACGACTGTCTATGTCCGGTTACAAGATGGGCCCTGCCCTCCACGTCCCTCCTGTAAGCGACTCCCCATTTCCTGATGCCCATCTGTCCAGGACGTTTTAAAAGGACTTTTAAAAGAACACAGTGTTTCCAGTCTGACAAAATGTGACTTCTCCAGGAAGAACCCAGGGCCTGGCTTGAAGTGTGGGCACTCTCAGTGGTGGCTGCGTGAGGGGTAAGGGCCAAGAGACGGCTCTCTGGGCACCACCCCAGGGGGACCCCAGTGAAGTGCTCCTATAGCCCCCCGGCCCTGCCTGGGCCGCAGTGGGGGCTGGGCAGGACACAGTTAGCACACGGGTGGGAAAGCCTCTCCCCAGGTCCACCTTGAACCAGAGATGGCCTTAGCCCCAGGGCCGAGGGGATGGATGGGTGGCCTGCTGCCATGGCATTTACTGGTAGAGGACAGTTACAGTGGAATGTGACCCCTGGAAGCCTGGACATGGAGTAGGGGAGGGAAGGCTCCTGTCCCCGAGAGGCAGGCGGTGGCTGGACACACATATGCTGGAGCCGCACCATCTGGGTTAAGTCCCACTGCATCTGCCTGGAGCTTTGGGACTGCTGTGGAGTGTCTCCCTGTGGTAGTCAGCTTTACATTGCTATAACAAAATACCTGAGATAATAAAATCATAAAGAGAGGAGGTTTATTTGGCTCATGGTTTCAAGGCCTTAGTGTTTGGCTGGCCCCGTTGGTTTCGGCCTGTGGTAGGTGGCTCATCATGATGGGAGTACATGGTGGAGCCAAGCTGCTCATATCATGGATGGCAGTGAAGGAGACGAAGAGGAGGAGGCTGGGTCCCCATATTTCCTTCAAGGACACACCCTCCATGATCACAAGACCTCCCCTTAGGCCCCACCTCCATGAGCAGGGGCCAGACCCTGAATGCATGGGCCTTGGGAGACCTTCTAGATTCGAACCACAGCACTCCCCAGAGTTCCCACTCTGGAAACTAGTCCCCAATTCACATGTTGGTAGCATCTGGAGAAGGGGGCCTTTGAGAGGGAGTCAGGGTGAGGTGAGGTTCACCAGAATGGCCTTAGTGGCTCTATAAGAGGAGACCAGAGTGAGCCCACTGCTCCATCTCATTGTGGGTCGCCCTCCCAGGTGTCGGGATGCAGCAAGAAGGCCCCGCCCGACACCTGCACCTTGAGGCTGGGCCCTCCTCCTCCAGGACTGTGAGGAATAAATCCCTCTTCTTTATAAATTACCCAGCCTCGGGTATTCTGTTTTAGCAACACTTCACAGACTCAGCGGGTGATGTCGGCCGTGGGACTTACGCTTTCTCTGTGCCTCAGGTTCCTTATCGTAAGATAGGGATTAGGATCGTGTCTCTCTCCTAATGTAGTTTAAATTAATATCCACTTGAAGGAGGCTCAGAAGCAGACCGTGGAGAGCCCAGCTCAGGCTTCCTCTGGAGTCCTGCTGTTCTAGGTCAGTAGTGCTTAGCCCTGGCCATACACTAATATCTCCACAGGAAGCTCTGAAGACTTCTGGTGCCTGGGCCCCACCCAGACCCACTGGATCAGAGCCCCTGCCCTCTGTGGCCCCAGGACGAAGGGCCTTTGGTTTTTTTTTTTTTTTTCAAAGCTCCCCCAGGCGATTCTAATGTGTGGCCAAGTCTGAGAATCCTTGATTTGAACCTAACCGAGAAGGAGCCCGTCTGGCCAGCCAGCCTTTGATCGGCAGCAGAACTTCACTGTGTCAGTCGGGGACGGTTACCTGGAGCCACCCATGGAGAAGTGAGGATTTTCCTGGAGGTTCAAAGGTATGCTGCGCTTGACCGTCAGCCCTCCTGCCTGCCGGGTTACCTGGGGAGCTCAGCGAAATGACATCTTCTTGCCTTGGCTGCCTGGGGATTTTATTCAGTGGGTCTGCTGTAATGGAATCCAGGAATCAAGATTTTTATTTTTTAAATTTTGAAAAAAAAATTGAAACAGTAACCGGATATATTTATGGGGCATGGTGTGTGACATTTCAGTAAGCGTCTACAGTGAGTAAGGACCAGGGGAGGTACCTGGCATGTCCTTCGCCTCAAACATTCATCTTTTCTTTGTTGGGAATGTTCCAAATCCTCTCTACTCCCTGTTTTGAAATTTTCGATTAGTTTCTGCCAATTGATTTCTGTCAATCGGCCGTCTGTGGAGTCGAGCATCGGGAGTCACGCCTGGCCAGCTGCCCCCTGTGCCCGGCAGCTGCCCTCTCCACCCCTGCCCACCCTGTCAGGCCCTGGTAACCACAGTGCTATTCTCTCTACTATGAGATCAGCTTTTTTTAGCTTCCACAGAGAAGTGAGATCATGCGGTTCCCTCTCTGGGCCTGACTTGCCTCACTTACCATAATGTCCTCTAGTTCCATGGACATTGCCGCAAATGACAGGATTTCAGGAATCTGGTGTTGTGAAGAACCCCCAGCACAGCGCAGAGAGGTTCTCCCAGCGCTCTGAGCCCCGGCTTCTCAGCTACCCTGTGGGCCCACGGAGGACCGTGCCTGGAGGGGGGGGTTGATGGATTCCAGGGATCAGTCTGGGTTCAGGCCTGTGGGGGCTGTGTGGCAGACGGGTGGGCAGGAACAGAGGCGGCAGGTAGTGAGTGGGCCTCACACCTGTGTCCTCAGACGGGCAGCAGGCCTCCGCTGAGCTGGAAGGGACAGTCTTGTGTTAGAGTCTGTAAACAAGTCTGGATGGCGCCTGGCAAAATGCCAGAGGGAATAATTTATGAAGTAACACCAGCGAGCCATTAAGTGTGGAGATTTCTTATTGGTTGACTGATGTATCTAGTTTATGCTAATTAGATAAGCTGTGTGGAATGTATAAATACTGCTCCTGTCCTGCGATAAACGGCTCCCACTTCTACTGTATCAACGTACACAAGTTGTTCGTCACCCCCCAGTTATTTTGCTGCAGCCGGACTGCAGCAGTCTTGCCCAGGCGTGGGCTGCCTCCCGGCGGCCAGAGCCTGACCACCGCACCTGCTGTCCCAGAAGGATCAGCCCTCTTGTTGAGCTCCCAGGCCTTTTGTTGTCCTGCAGGGGGACATTTCTGTAGGGTGTTAGTGTCCTGTGCTGCTAGAGCAACTTACCAGAAACGTAGTGGCTTAGAACAGCAAAAACTCATCTTACAGTCCTTACAGAATCCAACACGGATTCCACTTTTCTGGCTTCTAGAAGCCCCTGTTTCTTGGCCTTCCTCCGTCTCCACGGCCAGCCTTGGGTGGACTGAACCCTCAGTGGGATCACTCTGAACTCTTCCCTCCCTCTCTACTTTTAAGGCCCTCCTGGCTCCACAGGGCCTGCCCCGTGTGACCAGGACACTCTCCCTGTTTTAAGCTCTGCTGCTTAGGGACCTTACCTCCATCATAGCCTTGGCTCTCCTTTGCCAGATGAAGTGACGGGTCACAGGCTCTGAGCACCAGGATGTGGGTGTCTTTGGGGACCATCAGATATACTGTCTTGACCAACTCTTTAGATCTTTAACGGCATCAGTCTCAGTGAAGTGCTAGTAGCCCATGTCCCCCACACGTAAACTCCTGCAAGACTGACCCGTGTCTTATTCTGACCTGAATTGCCCATGACTTGTCCTTCAAATTGGGGCTACTGGTATCTTGGAAACCTAGGAGAGCTTTCCAGAGTTAAAGGTAATTTAGAAGAAGCCATTTCAGTCTTTTTAATTTTTTTTGCAATGCCAGGAATCAAATCCAGGTCCTCATACATGGCAGGCTCTCCACTGAGCGCACCCGCCCCACCTGCAGGTCTTTCGTTAGCAGTGAGTACGGACTGGGAAAGTGCCCACGTGGTGGGGGTCCTCTTTTCCCTCCTGCCAGATGTTTTGTTAAGGAAGACCCAACTCCCTTCCCTTGAAGAGCTGGATAGTGACATTCAAATACATCCAGGCCTCCCCTTGTCCTGATCAAAACATACGTTCTCAACAGATTGTACAAATACATTTAACATGTAGGTATCAAAGTTTGTAATATATTTTTGATGCCTTGATCAAATGTGTATAAATAAGAATTGGGATGATAGCTGAATCCAGAAGAAAAAATTTAACCTGCTCAGAGTCTGATGGTGCCAGGAAATAAATAGTAAATTAGAATTTCAGCTGGACATGATGGTGCACACCTGTAATCCCAGTGGCTTGTGAGGCTAAGGCAGGAAGATCACGAGTTCAAATCCAGCCTCAGCAACATAGAGAGGACCTAAGCAACTTAGCAAGAACTGTCTCAAAATAAAAAAACAAAAAGGGCCGGGAATATGGCTCAGTGGTTAAGCACCCCTGGGTTTAATCCCTGGTACCCCCCCCCAAAAAATTCCATTTTTATAATTTTTCTTGCATGGAATTATGATACTGAGATTTATGTCTAAAATTGTGATTATAAAAAGATTTCTAGGGGCTGGGGTTGTGGCTCAGTGGTAGAGCGCTTGCCTAGCCCTGGGTTCAATCCTCAGCACCAGATGAAAATAAATAAAAATATAAAAAAAGATTTCTAGCATAAAATTATATCATGATAAATAAATTTGATTTCAATGAGGAAAAAGGAAAAATGTAAAATAGTCTGACTCACAGTTGTTCATGCACTCTTTTTTAAATAGCTGATGGTAGGTATCAAATTGCTGTGGTATTTAGACTCCATAGGAAACATTGAAAGGAGTGATGTAACCGTTTTATTTCTACAATGTCAATATTTACAACACAGTGGGGATTACATCTTTTGTACAATTTAAATTTATGATAAAAAATTTGGATGTCAACCAAAAATGTGCAAGGGCTACACAGCGTGTCAAAGTTCTTTAGAGGATTCTATAAGCTTAAAAGTTGAAAGACTCCTGCCCTGTGGTGCCTGGTGCACAGTAGGTGCTTAACAAAGTGTGAGGAGGAAAGTTGTGCAAATTAAAGTGATCACACAAAAGCTTAAAGTGAGGTTTTAGTATGTGGAACAGGTGGGACCCTCTAAGGGTGCCTTACAGGCACTCCTCCTCACAGTCCCTGAGCCTCTTGGGGACTCTGGCATTGTAAGAAATCATTAGCCTCCTTTTTCAGACTAGGAAGTTGGGGGTTGGCTTAAGGCAGCAGAGGCAGAAGTGACAATATGGCTCTGCCAGCTCTATGAAGAAGAGAGCTTAGGGAGGGAACAGAGATTTGGTTGTTCATTCCTCCAACTAAGCAAGCAGCAGCCGGCCAGCCAGCCAACAGCGGAATATGCAACCACCCATCCCACCACCCAGCCCACCACCCAGCCATCCACCCATCTAACCATCCATCCAAGCACCCATACAACCACCCATTCAATCATCCACTCAACCACCCATCCACCCAGCCAACCACCCATCCATCCATCCAATTATCCAGCCAACCACCCATCTAACCATACATCCAAACACCCATCCAACCACCCTGCTAACTGGTGAAAGATACCACCACCATCCACCCATCTAACCACCCATTCACTTAGCCACCCATTCATCCAATCACCACCCACCCAACCAGTTTCAAGGAGCCCTAGATCCCAGCCTGGAGCACAGGTCAGGAGTGTACAGTTGAGTGTGGTTCCCTCCCCTGAACTGCGGTAATAAAACATGTAGCCTCTTGGCCTTTCCTGGCTTCTCCTGGAGACCCCCAACTCTGCTTTTGGAGTTGTGTCTGCCTGGCAGAACGTGTTCCTGGTAGGAGGGAATTCGCTCTTCATGCTAGTCGTAGTTGGCTGTGGGGTCCCCGCTGCCCTCCTCTCCCTCTGTGAGTCCCCCACCTCCACCTGTGCTCCTGGCTGTCTCGGACTGTCGATTCCTCATTAGCAGGAGGGAGTCCATTTTTAGGAGTGATGAGTAGATGGAAAATTGTCACTGATCACTCATGGCAGATGCCGCCGGAGCTTAATTAAGGCCAGACGGTGCAGCTCAGTGACTTTGTAGATGTGCAGGAGGGAAGGGTGCTGGGTCTCAGCGAGGTCCAGGGGCTCGGGCAAACTGTTTGACTTTTTGGTACTGGGGATTGAACCCAGGGGTGCCTACCACGGAGCTACATCCCCAACCCTTTTTAAAAATTTAAAATTTTGAGATGGGGGTCTCGCTAAGTTGCCCAGGCTGGCTTCAAACTTGTGATCCTCCTGCCTCAGCCTCCAGAGCTGCGGGGATACCGGCATGCACCCCTGCTCCTGACCTTGGGAAAACTTTTATCATCAGTTTGTAATAATAAAACGGAGCGGTCTGTTCTCTGATGTAGAGGATGTAAAATTGGACAAGATGTAGTTCTGCTTTCATGGAAATAATAATAGAATTTTAAAAGTTTGTGGGTGAAAAGAAACAATGAGGCATCACATTGTCCCTGACCTCCTGGTGTGGATGGAGTTGGAGTCAGAGGGACGGGGCCCCTGTCTTTGACCTCTCTGCTCGGGGACCAGGGGCCCCCGGGCCCTGGGTTCTGAGGGATGATCACTGGTGGGAGGTGAGAACTCGGGCGGTAAGTCACCCCTGGAGGGAAAGCAGAATGGGTGTGAGAATCTTCAGGACCAATGTTGATTGAATCAACTGAAAACCCTCGGTCTGTTTCCTGTGCACTTGAAGTCACATCCTAGTGCCTTATTGTGGCTTCCAAGTGGCTGTGGGGGGTGAAGAAGTCAGGAACCTCCCTCCCTCTAGGGTTTTGGGAGAGGTGATGGGAGTTGGTCAAGGCTGGGGCAGGAGAGGGGTTGAAAGGCAGGTACAGGGGAGCCCTGGGCGATGGTCCATTAGGTGTTGGAGTGGGGCATGAGTCAGGCCCCTCTCCGGGCTCTGGGAGAGATGCTGGGGAGGACTGGAATTGTCTTTATCCTTGGCTTCTGGATGCCACTTCCTAGAATGTGACACCAGACTGTTTTAATTTGTTTGGGCTGCCATATGGAAGTGAGCCATGGACTGACACTTCCCAAACTCTGAGATAAACCTTTCTGCTTTATAAGTTGATTATCTCAAGTATTTTACCACAGTGATGGACAAGCACTCTACCACTGAGCCCCAGCCCTACCCTGCTCTTCTTTACGGAAAGGGAGATAGTCCACTCCCCTTGTTCCTTGTCCACATGACCCCAGGCCCTGGTTGGTGGCAGCCTGGCAGGAAGGATGGAGGGACAGTGCAGGAGGCCCAGGCACATTAGGTTCAGCAAGTGCCAAGGAAACACACTGTCTGAAGAGAAGGGCCATTGCTAAAGGCTTTCAGTGCTAAGGCAGGGGTGAGCTGTTTGAACCTTGGTGCTCATGATAGTACATGGCTCAGGCCTCAGTGAAGGGTATAATTCTATTGTGGGATTCCAGTGAGCTCATAAGCCACAGAGCATGGCCGGTCAGCAGATCACAGGGTTCTGTTACCACGCAGCTTGTCAGCCAGGCCCACTGTGGCTCCGCCTGAGGACGGAGCAGCCAGGGCTCCCCTGAACTGTGCCCTAAAGAGGCCTTAACTACAGAGATCAGTTCAGTCAGGGCACATGTGGGTGTGTACGTCTGTGCATGTCCCCATCTACAGTGTGGCCGGGAACCCAGTGGGACAGCGTCACGACGTGGTATCTGTTCGTAAAATTTCTATGCAAAATATTCTCTCTTGATGTGCCATAAATAGGTGGGGCTCCCTGAGAACTCTGTGAAGCAGCTCTTACTTGATTCCTGGAATCATGACAGTGAACGGGAAAAGTGGCACGGGGAGGGACGACAGGGCACAGTGGGGCCTGTACACAACATGATCCGACCCTGAGTTGGCCAAAGTGAAGTCTCTCACTACAAACATGCCTGCAGTCTGTGTGAAATTCTGGGATATACGCTTATCTTTCTACCAGACCGTGGACCTGCAAGCCGCAGTCTTTGGGTCAAAATCTTCAGGACCAATGTTAATTGAATCAACTGAAAACCCTCGGTCTGTGTCCCGTGCACTTGAAGTCACATCCTAGTTCCTTATTGTGGTTTCCAAGTGGCTGTGGGGGATGACGGAGTCAGGAACCTCCCTCTAGGGTTTTGGGAGAGGTGACGGGGGTTGGCCAAGGCCACCTGTTTTTGTCAAGTTTTATGAGAGCACTGCTGTACGTCCATTTCTTGAAGTACTGTCTGTGGCTGCCTTTGAGCACAGTGGCAGTTGTACTGGTCTGCTTTCCATTCCTATAACAAAACGCCCGAGTGAATCAGCTTCTATCAGCTTATAACAATGGTGGAGGTCTCAGCTCTTGACTCGTCCCCCATATTGCTTTTGGGCCTCTAGTGAGGAAGCACATCATGGTTTGGGAGCCCATGGTGCGGAAAAAGCCTCTCACCTCACGGCCAGGGAGGAAGAGAGACAGGAAGAGGCTGGCTTCCCACAGTCCCAGGGACCTAATGGCTTCCCACAGCCACCTCTTACAGTTCCTACCACCTTCCAATGGCACCACGCTGTGGACCAGGCCTTTAACATGGGCACCTCTACGGACATTTAAAATCTGAGCCATAGCAGCAGAGTAGCTTTGTGAGAACACGTGGCCTTCTGAGACCGAACCGCTTACCCTCTGTCTGTTTTGGGAAGTGTCTGCTGGCTCACCCTGGACGGGCTTCTGGGGGCGGCTGGGTGCAGGCTCCATGCTCAGGCACGGTTCACGTGCAGGAGGGATCTTGCGCCATCCTTGGGAGGGCTGTGGCCGCTGACCCCACTCCACTCTTCCTTCTCCTGATGCCAGGGTCCCAGAAGAGGGTCTTCACGCCTTCTAGCCCATCCTGAGGGTTCTAGTGCTCCCACTCGTTTAGTGGTTTGGGCTCCAGCATGTGACAGCCTTGTGGCCAAGCGGCGGCGAAGGGAAGTGTGCTGGCGGTCCCCGAGGAGGGAGACCCGTGGGGCAACTTCACACGCAGGAAGGAACTCCAGGGGCCCCGACCTGCCTTCTTTTGCCTCTGGACGTTGTTGAGCAAGGACACGGTGCCAGCAGCAGTGATGGCATCTTGGGGCAAGTCCAAGGCCAACAGCCAAGAGCTGGGGACGTCAGAGCGGCAGGATGGTCCCCGCTGACCCAGTGAAACCAAGTTACTCAGTGCAGATTTGCCCTTTCCTACGTTTTGTTGGGAAATTGCTTTATCGTCCATTTGCTTTTGATGGACCTGGACGGGAGACCGCCACGTGCTGTGTTCACGTCCTCTTTCCTTGGCTGGGGCTTCTGGCTTTCATGTCTGTTTACCAAGGTGACATCCCACAGATCTTATGAAATCGTTCCGTATGTTCTTCTTACATTATTGGTTTTTTTTTCCATTTAGAATTTTACTCCGTCAGAAATCAATTCTTTTTGGAATGGTGCGAGGGCCATGACTTTGTATTGTTTTCTTCTTTTCCAGATGCAGAAATGATTTCTGGAGTGCGGGATGGTGAACGAAATCCATTGTAAATCCGTAAAGAATTTTCATAAAGACAATCTATCTATTCTATGTTGGAAACTAATGGGGTAAAATCGTTTCTGGTAGATATCGTCTTAGGAAGTGGCCACATGAGATGAAGACTTTTAAGTGCCATAGTTATGCACTAGAGTATCTTCTAATTTCCTACAAGGACTCAGAGGAACTGGAAGGTCTCCAGCACAGGCCTTGATTTAAGACACACTGTACAATGAGGGGACACTGTCCCTGTCAAGTACAGTGGAAACCAGAGTTTTGAGACTAGACTCTGCCAATTTCCTCCTAGGTTCTTGCCTCACAGATTTGAAGAATAAAATCCACAGACAATGGTGGGAGGGAAGATGGACAGAGCACTCCCAGGATGCAGGAGCCGTGCAGCAGGAAGGCCCACTCTGCTGTGCCAGCCTAGGGGCTGACAGGGCCTTGGGTATGAGCAGGCTTGACGTTTTCGCTGAACAGGCAGCAGGGAAGTTCCGAGGCTGCTGGCTGTGTCTTCAGCCTGGGTCCTGATCCCTCCTGTGAAGCCCATCTGGCTTCACCCCCACCTTCTGTTCTGACTCTCGGGGAAGAAGGAGCTGGATGCTCCTATGGGTGATCCTCATGGTCTTTTCCATTTGAAAAAGACTTTGCTGTTGCCTATTGATACTTCTTTTGCCTCCTGGCTGGTCTCTGCCTTTGAACAAGGCCTTCCCTGGGGCCCGCTGCCTGACCACTGTGTGCTCTGATTCACATCTGCATCACTGATGGGGAACACCTCCTGAATGACGTGTCTTAGTGTTTCATCGCTGTACGAACATCCTACATCGGACGGACATCTACAAAACCTGTGATGAGGCCTGCTGCAGACCTAGGTGACACAGCACAGCCATTGCCCCCGGTCGGCAAAGCTGAATAGCAGGTGCTCAGTGCTGCAGGCAGCTGTAACACAGTGGTGAGTCCACGTGTGTCCAACCTTGTCTAAACCAGGAGGTCCAGCAAGAACACTAGGCAACAGGAATCTCCCATCCTCCTTACAAGCTTAGGTGCCACTCACACGTGTGTGGTCCCTTGCCAACCAGAAAGCTGCTGTCCAGGGCATGACTGTATTGTCTGATCACGCCACCCCAGGTAATATATTGCATTATGTCCTGGTGGTGGTTAGGCATGTTGACAGAAAAAGCCAGAGTAAAAACTTATCAGTACCTTGCATTGTGTTGATTTTGAACTCCAAAAGTTCCTAGCTACTGAAGATCATTGATACAAGGGAACCGAAGTAAATCCTCTCAAATTAGGGAGCGACATTCCTTTCTTATCGAATCTAAAACAAACATGCAAATCAACAGGAAAAAACCCTGGCTCGTCTTATGGTAATTAAAATCTACTTTCAATAAATTAAAAGGAAAACATACTTAGGAGATATTTGTGATACATACTTACCCCAAAAGGGAGTATCAGGAATATGAAAAGAACCTTGCAAATCAATAAGAAAAAAAGATAGGAAGACGTAAGTAAAGAAAAAGGGAGAATGGTCCAAAGACCAATGAACTGGTATTTCTCAGAAGAAGAAGCGTAAAAAGCCAGTCAGTTTATGAATTCTTGCTCGGGATCATTCGGGTTTGGGAAAGTCAGACAAGACCTCCGTGAGCTTGCCTTTCGCATCTATTTAGCTGGAGAAAACCTACCTCAGGTGTAACCAAATTTAGTCTACAACTGTAACCCTGTACTAATTCTTGGCACATAGTAGTCAGATTCAAACGTCGATTGTGTGAGTGTGATTTTCCTATTCCACTCTCTCCCTTCCTCTTTTACCCAATCATAATATAATACTATCCACTGTCATAAAAATGATCAATTTTGACAAAAATTTAATGTTTAAGGACATCAAATTCTAATACTCAAGTAATTCCTTTTTTAAAAAAATATTTTTAATTGTCAATGGACCTTGATTTCACTTATTTATATGTGGTGCTGAGGATGGAATCCAGAGACTCACGTGTGCCAGGCAAGTGCTCTACCACTGAGCCACAGCGCCAGCCTAAGTAATCCTGTTTTGAAACCCTGGTTAGCATATCCCCGCAGACTTCCGCTCCGCATGATGAGTTAATTGAGCAGACGAACCAGATCCTCCTCTGCAAAGCCTGTACGTGGCTTGAGTGCCAGTCCCTCTGCTGGGATTCCTGCGGCCTTAGGAAGATCCCTGGCCTCACTTTGCTTTAAGATGACACAGCATTGTATGGCATCGTTAGCTTCCCAGTGAGTCTGCTTCTGTCTCTCTAGCAAGTAAGTGTTCCTTTTTGGTAATGGCACTCTAATTTTCAAGGAGAGAGCCACTAGCCTCCAACTCTCAGCTCATACAGTTTGAGGCTACTCCCACCTCCAACTCAAGGGGTGGGCATGGGTCCCCGGCCTGCCAATCAGGGCAGTGGCTACGGTGATAAAATAAATCCTTGGGTACCAAAGACCCTTGATTTTTTGAAAAATTGGATGCATCCCTAACTGGAATGGACATTAGCATTAGCAGTCTCCTAGACTGCTAGAACAAATTGCTTTAAGCAATGGCTTAACACAGCAGATATTTTCTTGCATTTCTGGAGGTTAGAAATCCTACATGAGTCTCACTGGCTGAATTCAAGGGGCTGGCAAGGCTCTGGGGAGAATCCACTCCCTGCATTTTCCAGCTTCCTTGGCTTATGGCCCCCCTTCTCCACCTTCAAAACCAGCACGGATGGGCCAGATCCTCACATTCTAGCAACCTGGCCTCCTCTTCTGTCAACCTCTTCCATGTTTTTGGGACTTTTGTGATAATAAGAGAACCCCCTCCCCCAACAGATAATTCAGGACAAGATTTCCATTTTAATAGATTATCAATGTTAATTCCATTTTCCCTGTAAAATCACACATTCCCAGATTTGGGGGGATTAAGATGGGGGTGTCTTTAGGGGAGATGTCATTTTCTGCTTATGACAGCAGTTTTTAATTATCTACCTTGATAAATATAGTACTTTAAAGCCATATTGCTTTAATAGTGTGCTAATTGAGAAACCTTCTGCATCTGAGGTGGTGACATTTATCATGGAATTTGTCCATCTGCAATGAGCAGTCATTGACTGTTTGCCCCTTGCCCCCCTTATTCTTTGAGCTCCCATAATTTGGAATGAATTATGAGGGAACATACTTTACCAGCATAGACAACTGACCCTGGTCTTGGGCTTCTCATGTCACTTATGATAAATCCATTAATTGGAATTAAGGCTTACACTAAACCTTCCACCATGCTGTTGATCCACATTGGTTCTCTCCAGCCTGCTAACTCCCTTTTGGTATCAGCAGCCTGATTTTCTTAGGGAACCACCTTTTCTCCAACTTCCAGTTCATGCTGTTTAACTGAGCCTGCTACCACCGCCAACTCCAAGGGTGGGCAATGGGTCCTCAGCCTGGCCAATCAGAGCACTTGTATTTCCTTGACCACAGTGATTGGTTTAGGGGTGGTCAGGTGACTGAAACCAGGCCAATGAAACTGTATCCTGTGGGTCTAGATGCAGCTGTTGGAAGAGGAGCTCTCTTTTTCTCCTGGGGTTGCTGAGTGGCTGAATGTGAGCCTGGACCTTCTGGTGGTCACCTTTGCTGCCACTTGTGGAAAAGCAGATCTGAGCACAGAGACAACACAGAAAGAGCACTGTGATGTCATAGAAGGGGATAGTTTTTTTTCTTGACAACTTTTTTTGAGAATTTTTTTTTTAAAGAAAAAATTTGAGAGGCATTTATTTTTGAAGTCTTGTGGAAGCCGTGTGGGTTGGATGCCTTTCACTTGTGCTCAAAGGAGGCCAGTGAACTAATTGAGGACAGAGCTGAGCTCAGAGCCTATACTTCTTGGGCTGAGTTCATCTGTTCTTCACTACACACAGGCTCTTCCCTGATTTAATGTCTGTCTGTTTCCTGATTTGTGGTCTAGTGAGAGGTGCTGTTGTCACATGTGTCAGAAATCACCACCTATGGTGGGGGGGCCTGGGTTGTGGCTCTGGGTAGAGTGCTTGCCTAGCATGTGTGAGGCACTGGGTTCAATTCTCAGCATTAAATATGCACACACACACATATAAAATTAAGGCCCATCGGCAACTAAAAAAATATTGGAAAAAATAAAGAAAAAGAAATCTCCACCTATGCTGAGAGATCTCCGTCCACATCAGCCAAGTATTTATTTGGGCAAACATTCTTTGCACGGATCCAATCTTGCTCACTTTTGTCAGACTTGCACAATACTTTCAAAATGAAATTTTACAGCAGAAGGTGTTTGGGAATCAGAGGTGGCATGGGAAGTGTGGGCCTTTGTAGGATATTAGAAGAATTACTATGTGGGTCTCACTTAGTGACTGATACGCAGCTAGTCAGAAGCCAGGAAACATGGCTAGGCTGTCTCTTTTTTCTTTTTTGCCATATTCTGTGTCATCGAATATGACCAAAAATATACAACAATGGTAGTATGGTAGTTGTAGATTTGGGCAGGAATATAAGAAATCTAATTTTCTTAAGAAAGTTAACTTAATGTTCTTAAGTGACACTTATTGTGGACTTCTAGCATGCAAAGTGATGCAGAGAAAAGTGGGTGAAATTAGAACATATGTAACAGTCAGGTTAGGCTAGATTTCACTGCAGTAACAAATAATCCCTAAATCTTGGAAGCTTTTGATCACAAAGATTTGCTACCCACTCATTCCCCATGTTCACTGCAGGTGAGCAATGGATTGGTACCCAGGCTGATAGAGTAGCAAGTATCTTCAGTGTGGTCAGTCAGCATCCTAGACAGGATATGAGCAGTTGAATGGTAGGTATCACTTTTATTCATAACTCAGGAGCCAGAGCTAGGCCACACCCAACCATGAGGTGGGGGAACCAGAAAGTACAAAGTCAGGAAATATTTGGTAAGCAGCATTCATGAGATCCAGGGCAGGTAAGTTAGAACTTTGACAGAGAGTGGAAAAAAATGTCAAGGGGGAATAAAAAGAGCACCAATCCTATGGAGGTGGGAAGAGAGGTGGGGAGAGAAAGAACAGGCTCCACTGTCCTCTGAATGTGTCGCTCCATATGCTGTAACAGAGCCACCATTTGTTGGCATGTGTACTATGTACCAGGTGAGCTCCTGTGCTGAGCTCTGGGATCAGTTATTTAGGAGGTTAATTACAGAAATGCCTTCTGATCAACAAGCAAAGGTGGTGATGGCGGAAGGCTAAAGGGGAACTCACAGAACTAGAAGGAAAGCAGAGGAACCAGTCTTCCAGTGGAAATCAGATCAGTTAAGGCTCTCAGTAGCAGGACCAAACCACACCTCTAGCCCTGTCTCCTGTCTTGATGCCACACAGTTGCAGATTTGCTGCAAAGAGGCTACAGCAAGGCTTGGGTTTGGGTGCACCACTGGCAAGAGGAGCCAGGGTTCCTCACTAAGACCGAATGTCTGTGGCACTGACTCCTCAGTCAGTGGTGCTTCTAGGAGAATGGTGGTGAATGACGATTGCTCAGGCAAAGATGCTTGTAACAGCACTTTAACCCAGATGGACTCACAACAGCACTTTAAACCCAAAGCCATTCTCAAGAGGGGTTCTCACGTGGGCATCTCTACCTCCACGTTCTCCAGCTGAGCCTCAGAACCTAAGGAACATCCCACCTTCGCCCTGCTGGTCTCAGTCTGTGCAGGCTGCTATAACAAAACACCTTTGATAAATGAGGTATCTTATAAGAAACAGACATTTATCTTTCATGGTTCTGGAGTCTGGGAAGTCTAAGATTAAGGTGCTGGTGGATTCAGTGAAAAGTGAGGGCCCATAGATGCTCCTTCTAGTTGTGTCCTCACTTTCTGGAAGGGGCAAGCCAGCTCTGTGGAGTCTCATTTATCAGGGCTCTCAGCCTAGTCCCAGGGGCTCTTTTCTCATGACCTAGTCACCTCCCCAAAGCCCCCACTTCCTTACCTAATCCTCAAGGTGATGGCATGAGTTGGTGAGTCAGAAGCTGACTGTGGGACTTGAGAGACAGTACTTTGGTCATTGTTATCTGCTGTCTCATGCAAATATGGTGGCCTTCTTATTGCCAGTTTTATTGGCATTAAAATGAGAAGAGGGCTGGGGATATAGCTCAGT